AGCGGGCCATCACGTCAAGGGCATCGTTGGGGTGGCCCGGGGTGGAGATGTACAGCTGAGTGTCGTCAGCGTACTGATGGAAATCCACCCCAAAGCCACGAATGATCTCCCCCAGCGGCTTCAGTGTCATTAGAGGATTGCAATGCTTTCTTTATGACAGACATTGATTATATTATATGAAAGTTGCAGTTCATACACTACACAGTTTATATAAAGTTTCCCCAAACTGTTCTCCTCAAGTTTGTAAAGACTGAAACAAATCTAAAATTCTTAGTCAATATGGCCTCCAATTCAAAATTCTGGTCAAGAAGAGAAGGATGTTTACATCAATCATGCTGTCAGAATGAATTGCATCTGTCTCACTAGAACAGACCCATGTACTGTCACAAGCTCTAACATAATGAAGAATGTGTTGAATTTATTCAAACTATTTGGATATTCCCTTAGAATCATGTTTTCCAGCAAGGTTTCAGTAAAGATTTTTAAGGAACATGCCACATCTGCAATGCACAGAAGAACAGCACAAACATGGGGGTCCTTACGAGAACCCCTCACCCCGCCTCTACTAACAAATGCTCATCCCTCATCTTAGAATTCTTCATCTTTTGAATTTTTTATAATGTTGTTTTATAATTAATTTTTTTAATCCTAAATTGTTCTGATTTTAATGTTTAATTTTATTGATTAAACTGTACATCACTCAGATTCTCTCTCTGAGGGAGACGGGCGATTAAGAGACCATGTTGATGATGATGTTATCCATTCAGTCACGTTCAACATTTGGTGATTCCCTGAGCCAGGTCTCTTCATATCTTCTGCTCCTGCACTATTTCTTTTGAGTTTTTCTATGCTCTGGCTGATGTCAGATTTATCCGTCTCCAACCTTATTCTTTGATGGCCTGGTTTCCTTTTACTGCTAACTCTTTCAAACATAATTGCTTTCTCCACATGACATGGCCAAAATAAATGATACAATAACAATAACAATAACAATAATAGAGTTGGAAGGGACCTTTGAGGTCTTTTAGTCCAGGGGTGTCAAACTGCCAGCCCATGGGCCAGACGCATCATCTGGAAGCCGCGCCCACCCCATTGCCGGCAATGGCAAAACCATCCTGATGCGTTGCGCGGCATCACATGACGTCGCGAGTTTGACATGCTCAGGCAGGAAACCCTATACCATTTCAGACAAATGTGTTCCAGACACAGTTTTATCATTTGGGTTAAGAAGTATGAAACATAAACAAACAAACAAACAATCAACTATAGCCTTGGGATTGGGAAAGGGACTTTCTGTGTCTTAGAAAAGAAGTATTCTAGGAGATTAGAAAGTGATGCTATGTGTGATACACAGCTACTCCGTGGAAGCCCTGCTGGCCACTTGCTATCCATCAATCAGAAATAACACCTAAACAAAATGGAAGCATGTTCAAAATAAAACTAATTCCCCCCCCTCTCGTTATAGTTTCCAATTCCTAAAAATGGAGAGTTTGGACTTCATCTCTAGTTTCTTAAACCAGGCAGTATTTTTCTCATCCTGTTGCATATATTTTCTACAGAAAACAATTCTGCAAGAAGATCTGCACAGAGAACGCCATTCCTGCTTCCAGCAGAGGTGAGGAAATAAATATGCAGGTTAAGATGTAACTGCGTCAACCAGGAGCTATTACTATTTGACAAACTGAAGTTAATTTTCAGATGGGCAATTTAAAGGAGCTCTTAGTTCAGGCAGAGCTATTTAGGAAAGAGGGTCTGAGTGGAAAGATACAAGGCAGAAATAAATAATCTGCTGTTACCCACCACCAGGAAGCCGTTGGACGAATATTGTAGGGATAAGCAACTTAAGTCCAACATATCTGGAAAACACTAAGCTGTGCTGAATTGGTAATTGTCATGGATGTTCAGAGTTGTATTTCTTATGTTGTAGAAAAAAAATGTATTATAATCATTAATGATAGAAAGGCATGTCTATACAGGTAGTCCTTAACATATAACCATTTTGTTTAGTGACCATTTGAAGTTACAATGACACTGGAAAAAGTTACTTATGACTGTTTTTCACACTTACAACCATTGCAGTATGCCTGTGGTCATGTGATCAAAATTCAGCTGCTTAGCAATTGACTCATATTTATGACCGTCCTGGGGCCACGTGAACCTCTGTTGCGACCTTCTGACAAGCAAAGTCAATGGGGAAGCCAGATTCACTTAACAACCGTGTCACTAACTTAACAACTGCAGTTAACTTAGCTACTGTGGCAAGAAAGGTCTAGAATGGGGCAAAATTCACTTAACAAATGTCTCACTTAATAACGGAAATTTTAGGCTTAATTGTGGTCGTCGAGGACTACCTGTACTATACTATAACATGGAGCCAATTGCAGATATCTTAATGCTTTTTAACATTAGAAGAGCATAATTGCACGCATCAACATTTTGAACTGAGTGGAAAACAGAAAGTGCAAACACATTCAGACCTTTTAAATTAGAACAATTCAATAAAGTATTTACACACGTTAAGTGTGGAATATGGTAGAAATATTTTAATGAAGCTGCACCTTATTACTCATTGAGGTGAACATTAAGTAACATTAAATTATTACGCTTTTGTGTGTGTGTACGTGTGCGTGCATGTGTTTGAGGGCTTGAAGGGTGTTAAGTAACAAATAATGGAAATATTTTTAAATACACTTGTGCCTCGCTTCGGCAAATGAGTTAAATGAGAGATTTCAGAGATTAAATTCTCAAGTAGC